GACAGGGCAGTGGCACAGCAGAGGTGGCCAGTGAGATCAGCTTTAACGGCACCCTAGACAGTAGCGTTGCTGACCTCTCCTTCTGTCTGTTACCTAATAGGAGCCGTGACAGCTATTCTCCTCCCTGACAGCCGGCACTGTCCGTTCTTCTTCATTGATCTATTGATCAGCTTCATACAAGAGTCGCGATCCACAGCAAATTCCGGGAGACATCCAGCTTCCATTTAATAAACTTGTCCTAAGTGCACGATTCCGATGCAAAGGCGCTGATGTAGAAAGCTGCCAGTGCTAGAAAACCGGCACCAACTTGGAGCACATAGTCCGATCCCTTGTATGTGATGGAGGACTGCGAGCAACAGCTCCGGGATCCGTCCTGCTACCTCTGCATACTCACCTTACTATAGACAGTCTGTGACTGGACAGGATTGGGCTCTATCAGACGCTCATCGTGAGCCATCATTAGGTTTAGCCTGACTCTCCGCTTCCAGGGATGAGCTCCATGCATTCAGCAAGCAAGTAACCGGCTCTCTCCCATTGAGCTCGCCGCATCACTGGAGAGCCCCGCGCACACCTTCGCCTGCACTTCCCGGCTGGCTTCCATTAGGGGGCGCTGTGCTGGTGTCCCCTGGGAATACACATTCCCGAGCGGGGTTAGTTTGGTATATGAGGGTGACGTCAGCGCCTCCTCCTCTCCCCCCAGCCGAGCCCCTGAAAGTAACTCCGGACTGGAGAGTGAAAGGAGCCGCTGAGCATGGAGAGCACTGAATGCGGAGCGCCTGCCGTAGCTTGGACTGCCGTGCTTCTCATGTGATCGTCTGCCTGTGGAAAGAGTCCCGAAACCGGTGGCTGGGGATTGTTGTGCTCGCTCCGTGGATCTCCCTTCGCTGCGAAACTTGGGGGAAGCCATGGATGGGGTGTACGTGGTGGGGCTGCTGGTGGTGTTGCTATTCTCTCCTGGGCTGGTTTCAGCGGTCCGCGGTCAGTTGTCTGCAGGTGAGTCATGGACTTCCTTTTACTTCCCCGGGGCTCACCCCCGGAGCTCGTCTATGGAAAGTTCTCATTGTGTGTCCAGGTGGAGCTTCGTATGTATACACATTCACTACTAGTGTTAGAAAGTGCCCTATTGTGTATCGGCTCTGCTTTCCTCTATGGAGGTATTCATTCCCCACATCTACATGTAGCTACATGCCCTCCAGCCAGGTGCCCAGATCTTATTGTTTGCCTATGGGAGTCTGCTGGAGTTTACAGTACACCTAAGCCCAGTCACTATAATCTCATATTATTCTACTCAATATAATGCCTGCAGCTGGCACTGTGCTTTACTAAATGGACAGTACTGGTCAGGAGGGCTCTGATCATAGGAGCTTACACTTTAAAGAACAGTTGGGCTAAGATTTAATCTATTCATCTAATTTCACAAAGTTCTTGGTTTTAGGAAATCTGCAGCTTTCATTAAGATAATACCAGGGGATCCCACCAGGAAGGTGCAGGTACTTTCACACAAATGTGCTCCTATGTTTTCGCCCGATCAGGTGTACCCCACATAGAGAGTGCAGTATCATTTCACAAAGTTGTTTTCAGTCTTCTGAAATTTGCAGCTTTAATTAAAATACTCCGTGATCCTGCTATGAAGGTTCTGGTACTTTGTAATATAGGGTGACTATGGTAACCTGACTACATGCACCTCACATAGAGAGTGCAGTATTATTTCACAAAGTTGTTTTCAGTCTTTCATTAAAATAATGCCTGGTGATCCTGCCATGAAGGTTCAGGTTTTCTAACATTGGATGACCACTATCACCCTCTTGCGTTGCCACCCGATCACGTGCACCCCACATAGAGAATACAGTATCAATTCACTAAGTTGTCTTCAGTCTTTTAAAATCCTGCAGCTTTCATTAAAATAATACCTGGTGATCCTGCCATGAAGGTTTAGGTACTTTGTAACATGGGGTGACTATGGTCACCCAACTTTCACCTGATCACATGTACCCCAGATAGACTGCAGTATCATTTTACAAAGTTGTTTCCAGTCTTTTGAAATCTGCAAATCCTTTCATTAAAATAATTCCTGGCGATCCTGCCATGAAGGTTCAAGCTCTTTCTAACATAGGATGACTACTGTCCCTCCGTTTGTGACCCAAAGTTGTCACCATATCACGTGCACCCCAGATAGACTGTAGTATCGGTTCACAAAGTCTTTCTTTTGAAATCTGCAGCTTTCATCATATGGTGATCCTGCCATTGGCAATTGGGTACTTTCCAACATAGGGTGGCTACTGTTACCTAATTGCGTTGCTACGCTGTCACCAGATCATATGCACCCTGATAGAGACTACAAGTCAGGGCCACATTATGCTGCCATTAGCCACCATTAGGAAGCCAATTCAGAGCAATGCAGCCAGTGCTGGAGAAAGCGAAGTGGCTGAAAGAGGCTTGTGGAGATCAGCAGCACTGAGATGAAACTACAATTTGTACCTTTTTCATCTTTTATGTTTGCAGTTTACAATACACAGTGCAAACTTTAGCACTCTCCAGTTGGGGCTTAGATCTACTTTAAGGGCTCATACATAAATACAGCTGCGTTCAGATCTATAAATCGTGGATTTAAACGCAGCTCTATTGTATGGGTCCATGCACACATATGCGTAAGCATCCGTAAAAATCGACGGTCATTACGCACGTAAGCATCTAAACGCAATTTAGGCTTTTAATGGAAGTGCTGACCCATTAGATGCATTTTTTTTACGTAGGATCTTGCCAGTCAGATCCTGCCTTTTGTATTGATAAATGAATTACGTTGGTATTGTTCATTAATTACGTCCATGTGCATGAGCCCTAAAGCCCCGCACGGGAGACGGCTGGAGTTTAACCCTCGCCTGTATGTTACACGGGTAGCCAGGGCTTTGTATGTCACGGCTCATGGAGATGTGAATGTAGGATATGTAAGGAGCTGCCTAAACTGTCTGCGTTATATAAATACCTGTAATAAATAAATCAACAAATGGAGATACTTTGTTTTCTTTTGTGATTTTCCTCCCTGCAAGTTGTTTTGAAAGTGTCTCTTGCAGATGAAGAAAGGAAGGATTGAGGTTCTCCCCTCCCCCCACATCTCCTGTGAAAGGATCAGTTTACATAGGGTTGGACATTCTGCCTTGTGGGTGTCTTGTTCTTCTCTATACCTGTTGCATTTTTTGTGTGGTTTGATGCACATTCCTGCAACTTTTCCCAAAGTATATTATATTGAGCATGCAGCATTGTTTGCGTCTTGTGTTTACCAGACTGATCCAACCTCCTGCGTTAACTTCCCGTGCGCTTATTAAACTCCTGCCTGCGCACCCCCCTTTCCTCCAGGTCATAACAAACTGATTCTTTTTTCTTTTAATTCCCTCACATTGTTAATGTCAAGGCATAGAAAAAAAAATAAGTCTTCGCTATTGCTGGAGTTCATAGCTAGCCTTGTAGGTGAGTTAGCAGTTTTCGAATAATTGCCTCTCTGTAAAAATTCCCCCTGTAGTGATGAAAACGTTGAAGGGGAAAAAAAACAAAAACGTAAGCTCAGCTGAAATATAGGAAAAAAAAAAAAAAGGAGCCGTGCTTAGCTGAAGCCTTCGATTAGCAGCGAGCGGTGATATTCCTTGAAGCGCTGCCTCGGTTGTGTGAAGATATAGCGGCGGTTTGCGTGCTCACACTGCCTCCACGCAGAGAATGTTCTAAGCTGCTAGAACAAAGGATTATGCCAATTCTGTGACTGGAGCGCAGGTACAGAGATGAAAATGAGCCAGCTTCAGGCGTTCAAGTTAAGTTGTTTATAAAGAACAAAATCTGGCTTATACTCTGCGTGCCAAATTGCCCATTATCTCTTATCGGAGATTTATTTTTTTTTCTTCCCATCTATTCCTGTCTTCATGTCCATGTAGCGTTACTAATGAATACACTTGTTTGAGAAGTGACATCTCTGATTATTCCGGGGTCACTTGTATCCAAAATGAATGGGCTGTATTAGGGTCCTGGTTGTTAAACGATGTCACATGGCTCTTTTTTGTTGTGACGTTTGGGATAATTGCTTAGATCCCGTGTATCCTAACTTGGAGGGCTGTGTTCAGCTGCTTGCTATTATTTAATTAATGCCTTTTAGGCTCCGTTCACACAACGCGTCTCCATTTTTCATGTTTTTTAAACCTTGTTTGGAGGGCTGTGTTCAGCTGCTTGCTATTATTTAATTAATGCCTTTTAGGCTCCGTTCACACTCAACACGTCTCCATTTTTCATGTTTTTTAAACCTTAATTCACACTATTGCTGCTGTGTAATTGTGTGTTTTTCTAGAGAAGGCCCCATACACACTAATGGGACTTGTCCTGCATCTGCTGTCATGCTGAAATTGTACGAAAGATCATGTTCTTGTTAATGACGCCCATTCACATCAATACAACGTGGTGCAGTGCAGTTTTAGAAAAGGTGCATGTGCTTCTTTTTGGGCTACACAGTCAGAGGAATTCAGTATTGCATTTGCACCAGAATGCTGGTGTTAATGCAGCCTAAGAAATGTATGCGCCAAATTCTAAATGTCTGTGCCATTTTCCACAACGTCTACCGCCATATTCAAGTAGTTATTTGTGCCTTATTTGATTCTGGCGCTGCAACATATTTAATAAACAACAGTTCGGTAAGAAGAAAAGTGATGCAAAGTAAGACTTTTTGGTCTAACTGATCTGCGGCATATTCATATTGTATATGTCTGTTGCAGTATGCAAAACATATCACAGCTGCAACATTCCTTGAAACGGAGCGTCCAACAAAAATTTGTCTCTTACACGTGTGACACCTTGAACAAAGATGCGACACATCTAAGTACTATATAAGTGTCTATATACCTCTCCCAAAGTTTCTTACAAGCCAGTCCCAGTTTCATAGCCTTGTGCCAAATTCATGACTGGCTTTGAGACTTGTACATGAATTTGGCACAAATCACACTATTCCTGTAACGCTGAAAAACACATGGGGCGTTTTTGTGCGTAAAACAGGGCTTGACAAATCTCAGAACCAGGTAGCCAATGTTCCTTACGAATTACAGCTGGCACCTAACTTTTTAGGTTTTCTCAATGGAGCTGGCTTCTTTATTCCATGTTATTTGTCCACCCTGATCTACAGTCTACTTAAGGGCCAGTTCACACCACAAAGAGTGCGTTCCAGAGCGTCTGGCCTATAGAACGCAACCTGGCCCGCTCCCTACGTTAGAGGGCGTGGCGGTGCATTGAAGTCAATGGCACCGCAACCACACCCCCTGCCCGCAGTGCGATCGCACAAATGCGTGGCACATTAGTGCCTGCGTTCCGGTCCAGTGCGATCTGCAAAAATGCTATCTAATGACAGAATCTAATGATTGCGCAGCTGATATTGCCTGTCATTGGCCAAAAGAAAAACACACGAAGCATGAAAACATGCCAAAAAGTGCATAAACACACTGCAAAAGTGCACTGAAAAATGCATAATTATGTAGCAACACCAATGGATACCCAAGCTTAGCTCATTTTCCTAGCACTTCTTTTTTTCTTATGCATTTTTATGACTTTGGCATGAAGTGGAGGTTTCCAGGGTGTGGGGGACTGTTGTCATGCGTGCCATCATACATTACCATTAAAGTCTATGGGGCACTTCATCATTTAGCGTACCGGTAGTTGTGAACAGGCACCATAGAGAATGTGATTTCCAATGTTGTGACAATGACAGACGCGTGACAACTCGCATCGGTGTGAATAGGGGCTTAATATCATACAGCTTTTTTACTAGGATGGACTATACAAACTTTTAAAACATTAACATTATCTTCAATCTCTCAACTGTTTCCTTTATTTCCTCATTTGTTTGGCATTGATTTCTCTCAACAGGTTCATGTTACAATCAGTTCAGGGATTTTTAATATAACTGTTAGTTGTCATGCTGGTGTCAAGGATCACCTTTTATATCTTGATGGGTTTTCTGTTCTATCATT